TTTAAAATTTTATTTTAAAAATAAAATTTTAAACAAAATTTCAGGGCAAATTTGTAGGAGAAACGGTTTAAGGGATACATTGTATATTTATGTCAAACTTTTTATAAGTAGTTTTAATTCATCCGACTTTATTAATATTAAACAAGTATTTTTTTAACAAAATAACTATATTCACAAAGCCTTATATCATTGCTACTCGACAATACCAACTTGAATAATATTTATCAAAAAATCTGGATAAATGATTTGTTTTTTTTTTACATTGACGTAAATACACTGTCATTAAAATGTCATTTCGCATTTTTTTTTTTTTTCTTACCATTTAATTACATTTTTCTCACTATTTAAGTTTCCCTTTTTTTTCTTCTTACTTTCTTAAACATTACTTTATGTTTGTATATATATATTAAAATATATATTTTTCCCGCAAATTTAAATCATCATATTTTTCTTAATCAACCATATCGACAATCTTTGCATCAGATGAAGATGCAGTAGCCTCTTCTTCATCTTTCTTTTCACTAGTAGCTTCGAAATTTTCAACCAATTCTGGAATATCATCATCATCTGCACCAGTATCAGCTTGAACCCCTTGAGAAGCGATATTAATCTGTTGATAAGTTTCCGCCAACTTACGAAGGGATGCAAGTGAGTCTGGGCCCAATTGATTCAAAATACCCGGTACAAGTTCGGTGAGTTCTTTTTCATCGCCTTGACCGTAGATTGCAAAAGTATTCGAATGGATTGACGCATGCACTAAGACAAAAAAGTAAAATTGTTATCCTGATAAATTTGTGGGTCGGTCTAGCATATGATAGAACCGTATAATCAAGATTATCAATCACCTTTAGGTGCAGTAAAATGAATGACGTTGCCATCTTCCTTAAACATATTCACTTCTTCGATAGATGAGATTGGTTGAACGCCAAGTTTCTTGAGTGTGGATTGGAGTTTCTTGTCATCGTTTGTGGCAGTCTTATATACTTTTTTGACTTTGCGACGTGGCGTACCCTTACCACCTATATTAAAATTAAAAAAAAAAAATTTAATTATACCTATATAACAAATTAAGTTGATCATTTAACTAAGAGAGAAGAAGCCGTAACTCATTTACGATAACTATATGTTTTCGCGAATGAGCAGGTCCCTTCATTTATTATATAAAAGATCAAGTCTCACCAATTCGAACTTGGGACTGAATTTTGGCAAGTTTGGCTTCCATATTTATTATACACGCTATATGATTTTTTCTGTAACATAAGCAAACGCATAAAAAGCATTATATATCATTATTACTTGTATAAGTATAATTAACAACTGTTAGCGTTTAAATTTAAATTGCGTACCACCTTCTTTCACTAAGAAACACGAGCCGTCGTTAAATTAATGAAGTGATTTTTTTTTTTTTTTTTTTGACGTACAGTACGTACGGTACATGTAGTCCGCAAAAAGAATTCACCTAAAAATTTCATTGGCCAATCAAATTTCAGGATCAGGTACAACGCGAAAAAAAAAACTAGTAATGATTTCTTTGCGCTCGAACGAAGTTTTTTTAAGTATATATTATATTTTTTACTTAGAAAGTACCGTATATATACAATATGATTATATAAGAAAGGTAAAATCTTTTTTTTTTCTTACAAATTAAGTTGGAAAAAAAGAAAATAAATAAAATAAATAAAATAAATAAAATAAATAAAAACAAATATAAAAGAAATAAAAAAGTTTTTTAATATTTTAAATGAGTAAAGTTAATACTAAAATATATTGTTTCTTATACTATTTTTGAGCTATAAACAATTTTTGCCAAAATAAATATACTATATATATATTTGTTTCAAAATTTTTAATTATGCTATATACAGTCGGACCTTTTTATAATTACACTTTTGGGACCATAAAAACTTTTTTAAAAAAATGTTCTTGTAAAGAGGTGTGCTTATATAGAGATCTTTTGTTATATATTAGATAGTAATTGGGTGTAAATATAGGTGTGTGTGATAATATAGGGGGTGATTATAAAAAGGTATAACTATACAACTAATAGATAATTTTAAAGCTAAGGTTCAGGTTTTTAAACTCCCACTTATTTTCAAAATAAGTTAATACTAAAGCCCTAATGGTAAATAAATTTTATTTAAAATTAATTAGGTAAACTAGTATTAAATTTTTAAATAAATTGTAGAACAGATTTTTCTAATTCTAATGATAGTAAAATCCTTAATATTCACCGAGAAACACCTGTCTAAAGAAATTAATCAATTTGTATAACTGAGGAGGAGAATTTGTGCCAAATGAAAAAACTTTACAATATATAGAAGTATAATTTTTTTAAAATATTTCAATTATTAAAATTTGATATGTATTATAAAACTTTTTAAAATTAATTACAACAATAAGAAGTTTTATTAGTAGCACATTTTTATTTCTATATAAATCTTATTGTACTACTAAAATCATGTGATCTACGTACCCCTACCAGGGACAATGTTTTTCAGCGGTGACAAAATGCCAATTCTGTTCGTGGTAAAAGAATATCCTGCAAAAATTCTGAATTGACCAGAATTACGTAAAGTCAGCCAGCATTATAATCCGCAAATTCTGGCCAAATTAATGTCAGCCAGCATTATAATGACTTTAGATCCTAAATCCAGGCCAAGATTTAAAAATGATCTGAACCAATTCCATGATTTTTCTGCAAAATTCCGTAAACGCAGAAAATCATCGTCCCTGATCCCTACCCTTAAATCTATTTTTATTAATCTATAAAAAAATTTGCCTGCTCAACAGACAAGAATCAATATTTTTCAAAAATATATTCATTATATAAATTTCTTCGTTTACCATTCAAAAAATCATCGTAAGCAGTTTGTATAACACCAATCCAAGATGTTGGATGAATATTAGTATTCCATTGATTATGCCAATGATAGGTAAAAGCACCACGAAAAAAGTCCTCTATATTTCGAATATTCAAAGGTGATCCATCAAATGTTGTAGGATCAAGTCCGGGAATTTCGTCAGTGACCATATTAGGATTGAATGCATCTTCAAATTCACTAAGATTTGGAGATAATACAGATAAAGGCTGTTTATTATCCCGTTTCAACCATAAAGGATCAAATAATCCAGGTGGAAGCATGTAAATCAATTTATTGGTTTCTCGAAGAGTAGATTTTTTATGAGTAGACTTTTTATGAGTAGACAAGTATTTTCTAATATTCAAGGGATGAAAGTTCATTTTATTTTTTATGGCACCACGAATCACCATTTCAGAAGATGGACTCTCTTTCCAAAGACGTAGAACTGCAGTATTATATCCATTTAAGTAACTCCAACGATAAGAGAATTCATAGTTTGCATAGTATAAAGGACGCATGTCACGAACAAGGAGAACGTCAGCGTCGATATATATACCACCATAATTATGA